TGGGATGGAAGGTATCGTTTCCAGTTTTTGCTGGGTCTGCGGTTCTTGACACTCACCATACAAAACACTGCAGCATTAAGCTATTTCACGCTGGTATTCTGTGAGAGCGTGGTCCTACTCCGGTCGAGCCGACGCATTTGCGTTACATCCATAATATAGCTGCAGCGTGGCTCTACTACGTAAAAAATAAGACACAAAGTCACAAAATTAACCCGTAATGTCATTTTAAAGTTAAAAAAAAACAATAAGAAGTTATCATATAATCACATCTATAATTTTGTGATAGCTTTTAATAGATAGATTTTAATGATCTGCTTATGCCCGGTATCTATGGATATGACGACTGACGATGAGACGATAGCACAGTTGTGAAGAGATACCAAGTCCTCGGGCCAGTCGGGATCAAATCCAGTCCGAAAGAGAAGCTATGGTAGAGCGTGTGAATCTCACACTACAGGGGTCTCCGAATGGGGCGATGCCAATCTTGTGAAATTCAACGCCTCCAAAACACAAGCATGTCCCGTCACTACAAAAAGGAGCCAGCTCACCTTGGCTCCATCTTTCCGAAATGTATCACTGGAATATACCGACCGCCTTCAGTTTTAGGGTTTGAGATATCCTCAAATCTGAACTTAGGGCGGTTCATTAAGTCCAAGCCCCAAGCAGCTGCAAGGAAGCTGGGAGTCCTTGCAAAGGTGCGGCGATACTTCACGCCGGGACAGCTGCTTACTTTATATAAAGCGCAAGTCCGGTCGTGCATGGAGTATTGCTGCCATATATGGGCTGGTGCTGCAAAATGCCACCTAGCAGCTTTAGACTCAATGGAAAGGCGTGCTAAGAGGCTTATTGGTGACCCGAATTTGGTTAAAACCAATTTTACCAGCCTCGAACACAGACGCAAACTCGCCAGGCTTTCGGTTTTCTACAGGATGCATTTCGGAGAGTGTGCGCAGGAATTGCATAATTTAATTCCTCCCTCTCCCTTCCACCATCGGACAACCAGACGTTCGGCCGGTCTCGTTCGGAAACGGTTCGCCACGTCGTTCATCATTCATACAGCAAAGGAGTGGAATAAGTTGCCAACATCTGTTTTTCTATCCGATTACAGTGTGGGTGTCTTCAAGGCAAGAGTGAATAGGCTTTTGTTAAGTCAATGCGCTTCACCATCTTAGGCTACATCACCACTTACCATCAGGTGGAGGAACGTAAATAAGCGCTGGCTTAGTAGAATATAAAAAAGCAGTTAAATTAAAAATATAAGAAAATTGAGAAATCTGGCTTTCAAGAAATTTGAAGAAAAGGTTTTAATTTAATGATTAATTAAATACTGTCATACTGTGCCCCAAGCTAAGCAACCGAGAGAGACAACTGCAGCTCGACTATATGTTATATGAAAAATAGACGAAATATTGCCGTGTTTCCTTTCATGATGCAATAGTTTTTCTTTTCTATTCCAATTTAAGAAGCATTGTGGCCCAGTCTGTATGTTTATCTTTTATTTTTTATATTTGTTTTTGTTTGCTGTATATCTCCTAACGGCATTATAAGTGTACAGTTTTAGTAATTTTAGAAGGTTCCTAGTTTTTTAAGTAACTAATTTATTGTATCTTAAAACAATTTCGCTCTAGTGTCATAATCCAGGGAGAAAACAGAGTAAAATGTTTTTATGGACTAAACGCCACCTGGATATCCTTTGTATAATACATCCATCTATACATGAAGCTTGAAGACACTTAGTGTGCGATGATAAGGAATACTATTAAAGAAAAAACCAAGCAACTTTATCTGCTTTGTTTCACGTTTCAATGTTGCATCGGCAAAGTTTTCCGTTCTTTTAAAATGGAAGTATGTAAGATATTTTTTTTTAAATTTCTTCATAGTTAACCTTATTTATATATAGTTGAAGGTAGACCATGCTTATCAATGATCGGGGTTCTGGCGGCTAATAAAAATCGTAAATAATGCTGATATATCACTTATAGTGGATCACTTATAAAAGTCAAAGTCAAAATATTTTAATTTTTTTACGTTTTAATTTTATTTTAATTTTTTTATATTTTTTTATTTAACTAAAACAATAACTATAAAGTCGTACTACACACTAACAGTTCAGTTCCTAGATGCGACGAGTATTATTTGTTACACTCAGTAAGATTATAACTTGTATTTTATATACACCGTGTATGATGCACTGTGTACACTTGTTACGACTGTGTTTGCATTCAAAAGCCCATATCATCGTATATTTTTTTTATAGGATAGGGTGACAAACGAGCACACAGTCCACCTGATGGTAAATGGTTACTGTGACCCATAGACATCTACATCTATCATCAATAAAGACTCAAGATGCAGATGCGTTGTCACCCGTGAGGACTAAGATGGAATGCCTCTTTGCCAGTAAAAAGGGTCTCCGGTTCTCTACACTCACCATACGAAACACAGCAGCGTTAAGCTGCTATTTTACGTTGGTATTCTGTGAGAGCGTGGTCCTTCCCACCGTGGTCGAGCCGACCCATTCGTGCTACAACTATACTACTAATATAGCTGCAGCATGGCTCTACCACGTTAAATATTAAGTGTATGACTTTGCTCGGAATATCTCTGCGAAATACAATCTGTAACGAGTACATCTACAAAAAAAACCGAACCAAACTGAAGTGGCAAGGTTTTCGAGTGGCAACCTTATACACTCTCTAGATCAGTAATTCCCAACCAGTAGTCCCCAAGAGCTTAACTATGGACCGCGAAAGGTTTAAATATGTTACCTACCTAATCACATTTATTATTTTCTCGGCACGCGGGTGGTGCAACACCGCGCGTCACGACGCAATCAAAATTTCACCTACCATGTATAATTCAATTAATACACCAATAAAAGTTTCTGTGAATGAATGTTTCTTTTCAGTTTATTGTATAATTATGTTAAAAGTTGTGATTAAAATTTATTGTTATATTAGCATAGTTTCTTTCTTTCACCTTGTGGTCCCTGTTAATTAACAAAGAAATGAAAGTGGTCAAAAAAAAAGGTTGGGAAACCTTGCTCTAGATGGGGTGACGACCTAATAAATTATGCAGGTTATCGATAGATGCAGGTGGCTCAGAATCATACTATCAGGCAATCCATGGGGGAGGCCTTGTGATGAGTCACTACGAGTACAGACTCAATTATGTAATGGAGTCTGTAGTGATGCGTGTTAAATTCGTGTAAATTTTTTCATTACTAAACTTCCAGTGTCACAATATTATGAAATACAAAAATATACACATTGCCGCCGGTTTATTTCACACAGGCAAAACTTGCATTGAGATTGCGTTCACTGGCGTACAGTCTGACTCGCACACAAATAAAATTAGTTTGTAAATTTCGTTAGTATGTACTTAATTCTCGAATAAAATGTTATAATAGCCAGTCTATTTTTATAAAGTATTTTTTATAGCTGTACCCCGCGACTTCGCACGCGTGTAAATTGGTTTTAATTTTTTTGCGTGGAACCCTAAATCTTTTTCTAAAATAAAAGTAGCCTAAGTTACCCCTTATAATATCAGCTATCTGCCAGCTCAGTTCCGTCAAAATCAGTCCAGCTGTTTCGGAGATTAGCCGGAAGAAACAGACAGACAGACAGACAAAATTTTTAAAAATTGTGCTTTTATTAGAAGTACTGTATATACTTTCATATGCATTAAGTAAAAAGCTGTTAATTGAACATTACAAACAGACACTTTAATTTTATTTATTTGTATAGATAATAATATATTTTGTGATGATACTACTCTTTACTGCAGGACACGTAGTAAAACAGTAGAAACATAAAATTGCAATGGTCTTACTGAGATCAAACTAACTTGTATGCTTATTTTATGAGCGGACTGACTTATAGTTACGAGTACAAAGGATCTTTAGCTACATTAATATATTATTTATATAATATTATATCAGCATTATAATATGATATTAATATAATATTGTTATTTAGCTATAACTGACACTAGCACTGGCTAATGCAAGTGTCAATTATAAGCCATTAGCTTCCACGGTAACACTCTAGGTCAGTACTCATGACGGATGTGGCGTAAGGTGAAAGCATAAGAGAATCTATCAATTCATCCCAGTTCATTAATTCTGTGCTTGTCGTTAGTTTTTTTTATATATAGAAATAGGGTGACAAACGAGAACCCAGTCCACCTGATGGTAAGTGGTTGCTATGGTTCATATACATCTACATCTATCCTCGTTTGCGAATCAAAATGCAGATGCGTTGTCACCCGTGAGGACTAAGATGGAATAAAATGGCCTCTTTTCCAGTAAAAAGGCTCTACGATTCTCTACACTCACCATACAAAACACAGCAATGTTAAGCTGCTATTTTACGCTAGTGTTCTGTAATGTCGTGGTCCTTCCCCGGTAGAGTCGACCCATTCGTGCTACAACTATACTATAAATATAGCTGCAGCATGGCTCTACCACGCTAGTGGTGGCTCTATGGATACCGTTATAAGGCAGTATAAACATCTAGTTTACACCAGATGCAAAGTACTCAGACCGGCGACGGACAGCAGTCTCAAATGTGTGGAACGTCCGGTATTGCGACCATCAATTCGCCTGCCAAGCGTGACTATGAAGGCAAATTTTCTCCGAAAATAAAAAGAAAGAAGCTCGTTTATTCCAGTTTCAGCATGCAGCACAATATATAAAAAGTAATATTAGGCAAAAAGATAAATAAAACGAAGCATTCACCAACATCATAAATATAAGAATATACGCTTAAAATGTTATGCAGCATCAAACTGCGAAAAGGACTGGTCTCAGTGATAGCATTGGTTTTCAGTCCAGCCCATACCCTGAGGCAACCAGCTAAGTGCATGCCTAGTTCTTAATATCCGAAAATTTAAGAAAACAGAAAAACAAAATTATATAAATGCACTAATAGCAGATTTGATGATCAAATGAGAGAGGCGCTTATCCAGTTTTCTTTCACGGCTGATGAAGAAGATAAATTATGGTTGGTTTGTTTGCAGAGTGCGACGAGTCCTTCGTGAGCCGCGGCGGCGCGGTGAGCGGCACGTTCCAGGCACCGGACCTTCCCAACCCGAACAACATCAGCCGCCAGTGCCTGTACACGTTCATCGCGGCACCGGGCCAACGGGTGCTCGTCGAGTTTCGCACGTTCAACCTTCGCGGGAAACCGCCCGAGTGAGTTGACACCTTTACCATTGTTGGAACGAAATTCTTTATCGGACGGTACGATTTCATCATCACCATCTAGAATGTTTGAGTATATACCGGTCCCGACTGACTAGGTGTCAATAATTCAAAAAAGTTCTTCCATGGACATTTCTAGAATGATCTTGACTCTCCTAGTTCTGCTACTCGACAATAGGGGGCGCTAGTGGTAACTAGTGTTGCCGTGTTCCTTCCATTAATTGTGGCGCGCAACAATATACTACGAATGGAACTTCGTTCTAACCAAGTGTTTCACGACACACGCATGTTTTTTTTTTTTTTTACTTTCACTTCAACAAGTAAATAGTTTAAAAAGTTATAAGAACTGACGGCAATTTACACTTCATAGTTCTTCTTAGTTCAGTTTACTTCATACATTATATAAGATAAGCTAAACTAAGTTTTGTAAGACCCGTTGTAGACGAACGTAGAACGTAGAAACTCTCTTACCGTTAAAGTCTATCAAAAGTCCACTGCTGAACATAAACCTCCTGTTAGATTGCCTCATAGGAGTGATATTTGCCATATTGCCAAGTTTGGTCGGACGGTTTTAGTTATTAAAGTAAGACGCTGCTGTTCGTCTCCTTGTTTGTTATCCTGTGTAACGTAACAGCGTATTCTATTTCATGTGTATCTTACGACACTCACGGAACAATATGAGGTAGTGAATATGTTTACACCGCCATAACAGTGTCAAATACTCTCTGGTCAGTTTTAATCTCATGAACGCTGGCATGGGAAAGGAAACGGCAGTCTAATAGAGACGTCGCTCCACTTGGGCTTATGAGCACTGGTCTTCATCCATTCCAGAATCGGCTTGATGTCCGAATCTTCTTGTTGTGCATGTTGTAGGCTATCCTTTCACTTATTGCTGAGCTGGTCTGTCCTGAGCATCCTCACAGATACCACTTCCTTACCCTCTTGCCTCGTACAATGCTTGCAATCTTCAGGACAAGGTCTTCTTGACAATGCATCTGCGTTGCCATGAGATTTCCCGCTGCGATGTCGGGGCTGCAGTAGTTCAATCCATCTCGCAGGTTGTCCTTCTGGACTTTCTTCGTCTTCTTTACAGCCACTTTTACGCAAAGTCAATACAGCTCGTATTGAAGAAGCGCTTGAACGGAACAAAGGCTCCAAAATCTTTGCCACGGATATGTTTCGTGGAAAGAAACAGCTATCTAAGTTAAAGAGCGACTGTAGTATCGTCGTTTCTTCGCTAGATGTACCAAGCCTTAAGCATACTTCAGGATACAATACCATAATACTGCTGTATTTCATATTGTGAGCGATAAGTACCGAAGAAACTTCATACTGGTTAAATTCGACTGGTGTTTCTACTTGCATCTTAGTCCTAAGATGTGACAACGCATCTGCATTTTGATTCTTAATGGAGGATAGATATCTTTGTGAAATAGCATCCACTTACCATTTACGAGGGCGGCAGTGAAAATTTCGGGAATCAAGGAAGTGACAACATTACTATTTAAAAATGTATTTATTGCTTTTCGAAGTATTCTCCGCGAAATTTGACACATTTTTCAATGACACAAATGACACAGTCTCCAAAATGGCCGTTTTGTAGGCGTCCACAGTTTTTTCAGGTGATGAAAATCTCTGTCCACGCAATTTATTCTTTATTTTAGGGAAAGTATAGAAACCATTAGGGCTTAGGTCGAGGCTGTACGGCGGATGGTCTAATAATTCTGTTTTCTTGCTCTAAAAACTCTTTTGTTCTGTGTGCGGTGTGAGAACTCGCATTGTCGTGATGGAGGATGATGCGGCGGTTGCAGTTCTCTTTACGGAGTTCAGAAACGACCTGTGGCAAACAAATGCTAGCATACCATTCTGCATTAACCGTTCTTTGTCTCTCAAGAGGAATAGTCGTAACATGGCCGGTTTTGGAGACAAACGTGGCCACCATTTTTTTTGCAACACTCCGTGAACGAACAATTTTTGTTGGCTTTAACTCATTTTCAAACACCCAAACTCCTGACTGGTTTTTTGTTTCGGGTTCGTACGTGTATATCCAGGATTCGTCACCTGATACGATGTTGCATTTGAGGATCCTGCGTGGAATCTTTCGAGAGTTCTGATGCACTAAGTAACGTGAGCCGCTTTTTGCTCTTCACAGAGCGAATGCGGTATCCATCGGGAAAACAACTTTTACACCTAATTGTTCATGCAAGATTATTTGTATTTGACTCATGCCAATGTCTAAAGTTGCCTGAATTTCGCGGTATGTCACATGTCGATCTTCCTCAATCAGCTTACGCACAGCATCAACGTTTTCTTGGGTGACTGCAGTTTTTGGACGACCTTGACGGGGATCATCACTGAGCTTGACACGTCCACGTTTGAATTCAGCAAACCAGCGATAAATTGTGGATTTGGATGGGGCTTCATCACCAAATGCAGAAATCATCCGGTCAACACACTGTTTTTGTGTTAAACCACTTCGAAAGTCATAATAAATCATCGCTCTTGAATTTTCTCGAGTCAATTCCATTTTCTCAACGACTAAACAAGTTTGACAAAACCTTGTGACAAGACCGAGAATCTTTTTTTAAATAAATAAATGGTATTCGATTGTTAAAACCAAGGAGTTTTCAATTAAAAAGATTTTAATATGACAGGAACAGTGGAAATATTCCATTCCCGATACTTTTTATAATATTATGCTCGTTTGTCACCCTTTCCTGTTTAAATACAAAAGTTATGTAAGTCCTATTCAATCCGCCATTCGACTACTGTCGTAAACCCCTCGATGTGTAAGCGCTTCAAGCTTAGTCGGGTTAGTAATAAGAAATATTAGTATTTACTATGTCCTTTAAATCCAAGAAAAAGTCCACAAAACGTCGCGAACACAGCGCTTATAATCATAGAGAATGTAAAACAATTTGCTTACTAAACATTTGTTTTCTTTTTGCCAGTGGAGCCGCAGTCGGGGAGCTACCAGCGTAAGTAACACTTTTAAATCATACCTTGTAAGTTTAATCTCGTCACTTGTACCGGTTCCGTTAATTAATATTATTTATTTGAATATTTTGCATATTAGAAATGATATAATTTAATTATATAATTTCATATGATCAAAAACATTTTGTACCATATTTTAACAAATAAACTAATTCTAATTCTATTGCACGCTTCACAACGTGAGGGAGTGCTCTACTCTCGATATGTGGCCATACCTCAATTTCGCCACATAAAATCGTTCTTATACTTTTAGTTAGACATCAAATTCATATTATTATTAACGTTACATGAACTAGAGACATTTAATTATAGGATTAGTTTTTTTTCTAATCGATTCACTTTAGATTACGTAACAAAAAATGTACGAGTAATTGAAAAGATACATGGACTGCCGTTCTTTGGTCTGTGTGTCGGTGAGTTTTCTCGCTTAATATAAATGTAAGCAATAGATTGAGATATATAGTAATAAATAAGATTCCATATATTCTAAAGAGGATCCCTATTGATTTTTGTTATCCAACTCAACACCGTTTAAAAGTTATTAATGGAAGTTGATCAGATTCTCAGTTTTTTTTTTTTCTTGTAAAAATTATCGTCATTATTTTTATTTTTTTCATTAAAATTAAACGAAACGCTCATGAGGCGTGGCTTTTGGATTTTCCAAATTTTTAGAATTACAACGGCAGCAATTTGTTGCAAATTCCAAAACAAACTGGAAGTGTTGTGATATCCACGCTTCTTGGATACTATACAAGCCTCCTTTGGTTTGGAAAAGTTGTGACAAAAGTTGTCACGGGACAGGGGGGTTACCACGCCACCGTTCTCATACGGTACAGAATACAGAAACTAAAACTCAACCACTTGTGCGGTTGCACTAATGAAGGCCTCAGAAAAATGAATAATAGTGATAATAACTCGTTTCAGTAAACGAAGTCTAGGGCGCCCCCCACTAGATTGAATGATGACCTGGGTAAGAAATGCAGACAGTCTATTGAGGCAGGTGGCCCCGGACTGTTATTTATGGCATTCCTTCAATAAAACTTAAGTTTAACTTTGTTGAAAACTGAACAGGAATACCTACTACCTAGCATAAAATACACGAAAGTTTCTGATAGTTGTAAATAGAAATTAGGTCAAACTATTCCTATATCATGTCAAGAGGCCCGATTATTTATTTATCTATCACTTCTACTAAACTGTTATTTGTAGAGCTTTCGCTAACTTAATAATTCTAATGGAATGTTTGAAAGTTTCCGAACATTTTCCTTACTTACTGAAGTAAAAGTTGTTTGACGTAAATATATTATACGAGGGAAACACAAACAAAAATTTTACTTCTTTTACATTAGAACGAAGGAAAGAAAGATTTTTAAAACACGTTTTATAAAAGAATTAATAGACAAATCAACTTATAACTACAGAACTAAGAAAAACTAAATCTTAAATAAAATGAAAGCAATGCAATCATAAGCTTTATGTGTAACTAGCTGTTCCCCGCGACTTCGCCCACGTTCAATTTGAGGTTTTAATTTTTTTGCTACTTGCCAGGCATGACGATTAAGGCTTATCCTTCTTACAGCTGGAGAGGCCAATTTCTAGCTGTGAACTATCACGGGTTGATTTTTATTATATAACTAGCTGTACCCCGCGAATTCGCCCGCTTGTAAATTGGTTTTATTTTTTTGGCGCGGAACCCCAAATCCTTTTCTAAAAGAAAAGTAGTCTAAGTTACTCCATATAACATCAGCTATCTGCCAGTGAAAGTCCCGTCAAAATTGGTCAAACCATTTCGGAGATTAGCCGGAATAAAAAGACAGACAGACAGACAATAATTTTACAAATTGTGTTTGAAGAAGTATACTGCCATCTATTTAAAGCCACAAGAACTTTCTGGAATATCTCATAGTCGCCTCTCACAACGCCCAGGGGTAAAATAGAACGATGGTTTTTACAAGGTACATTCGGCCGTGGAAGGAAAAGGGTTAGTGTTGAGTAGGACTTACAAGTGGAAATACATTCGTCCCGTACATGACGGCACAATGTACTCCACTGATAGAGCTCCACATTTTGACGTGTACTTCATCAAACTTTATGTCCCGTTAGCTTGTGAACTATAGAGTGAGAGTAAGATAGAACGAGGCATATGCTTCATAGCACGTTTTATTAATCAACGGACATTTACGTAACCGAGAGATATACTATTAGTTATTTTTTAATTTTTATTAAATACTTTTACTTTTTTTTCTATTTTAAGTTTTATTTCGTATTTACGTAAATAAGTAAAAACGTACGTAGTAATAATGTAATTAGATAAGTCTTACTACGTCTATAATACATTGCAATACAAATACAGCAACGCTATATCAGTTCTCATTAATTCAAATGTACCGCCGCACTTCACGAAGCCTCGCCTCATTTGCAGTGGGGCATTGTACAGACTCAGTACAAAAAAGAGACTTCCGGTATTTTTTTGCGCCCAGAAGCAATGAAAAGGGCTACCCTCCGGGAAGCGGGGGAGGGAGGTGGTGAATGCTCTAAGCATACCACGAGAGCCGGCTGCGTGGTTATGTGGGACTCACTGCGAAACGTAAGTGCCTACCCACTAAACACCATCTGTGAGACTGGCATTGGCTTGTGTGGCCTTTCTGCCGAATCGGAAGCGATCCCCTTTAGGGAAAAGGGGGCGCAGAGAGATCAGCCGGGAAAGGTATTTATATATACCACAGTACTCCGGAATTTTGATAGCGTGATTTAGGTTCGGTGTTTCTTACTTGTTGTGCGGCGACAGCGCCGCCATTTATATAATACTTACTTTGCTACAAAAATATAAGAAAACAATGTCGTTTGAATTTTAAAATATGTGCAGATGCATGCACGAGTACATGGACATCTACTCGGAGATGACGTCGCTGGAGGCGAGCGAGTTGGTGAACTCCGCGTTCGGGGGACGGTACTGCGGCCCGATCCCCCCGCGGAGGCGGGTGTCGCTGCACCGAGCCGTCGCCCTTGCCTTCTACACCGACAAACCATACACGCCACCCACTCTCTTCACTGGCACCTATCGCTTCATCAATTCATGTAAGCGCCTCTTTTGTGTACATACAAGATTTTATATATACAATATGTAACAAAAACCCTGTGGTTCCCGTTAAGTACGTTATCAGGATCATTATTCAAACCTATAGAAATAACTTTTTTTTAAAAACTCGAACAATATTTTGTTATTTATTTAAAAAAAATAATTGTATGCAAATTGATTATCAAAGACCCCGCTTTACTTAGCTTTAGCATCGGCTAGTGTCAGTAAGAGGTAATAAAATCACATAAAATAAAAAAAATATGTTTATTAAAATAAAAAAAATATGGTCGAGTTTTTAAAAAAAAAGTTATGTCTATAGGTTTGAATACTGATCCTGATAACGCACTTAACGGGAACCACAGGGTTTTTGTTACATGTTGTATATATATTTATGAAATTAATTAATATATCTTTATTTGTAACAAGCGCCCTGGCATCTCCTGGCTGTGTCTATTAATGTGGCGTCATTTAGATTTAGAGTGCAGAGTTGGCACGTGGAATGTTAGAGGAGGCATGAGAGATAAGATGAATGAGTTGATCGAAATAATGAAAGAAAGAGAATTAGATGTCGTGTGTATGTCGGAGACCAAGCGGAAAGGCAGTGGTACTGAAGAGCTCCCTGGCGGGGCGCTAGCTCTATGGTCCGGAGTCCCGGAGAGCGAGAACGCCTGCCAGGGAGTGGGGGTGCTGCTGTCTTCTCGGTTGATCGATGTTATGACTGAATATAAGGTTGTGAACTCAAGACTTCTCTGGGTTCGCTTTAAATTGGGACTGACGAAGTTATTCCTTTTGGCTGTTTATGCGCCGGTAGCTTCGTCGTCCAGGGCTGAGCTGGAGGAGTTTTGGGAGAATGTAAGAGAAGTTCTAGATTTGGCTAGGGGAAACGAAAGAATTGTTGTATGTGGTGATTTGAATGGATGGGTTGGTACCGCTCGACCAGGGTACGAGTCGGTACTTGGAAAGTTTGGCGATAAAAGGGTTAATGATGCTGGCAAGCTTATACTGGCGGTGTGCAAGGAAAAGGGTCTTCTTGTGACAAACACTATGTTTAATCACAAGAAAATTCATATGTATACTAGAGAACGAAAGAATGAGAGAAGTATGATCGATTTGTTCCTGGTGGATGACCGACTGCGAAAACAGGTGATGGATACGCGAGTGTTCAGGGGTGCTGACCTGGGAACGGATCACTATCTAGTGATTACTAGATTTAGGGGTCTGTTCGCGGGTTGGCGCTACCGGACGGCAGCAACAGAACCAGAGTCGGTCTGTCGCATCCGAAGCTGGAAGCTTCAGGAAGCGGATACTAGGGACAAATATCATGCGAGGGTAGCCGAAAAGCTTGACACCATCGATGGCAGAAAAGAATGTGTAGAAAGAACTTGGCAGAACCTTAGGGATGGAATGGTAAGTGCAGCGGAAGAAATGTGTGGAACAATAAAAAGAGGCAGTAGTAAAAGAAGAGATGCATGGTGGAATGATGAAGTGAAAGAAGCTGTAAAGAAGAAGAAGAAAACATGGTTAGACTACTTGGCCTCTAGTAATGATAAGGATATGAGAGAGAAGATGAAAAAAAGATATAGGCTGCAGAAAGTTCACACGAAAGCACTGATTGAGGAAGTGCGTGAAAGGTGTAGAATGGAAGCGGACGAAAGGTTGTCGCACAACTTTAAGGAGAACTCCAAACTCTTCTGGAAAGAGGTTGGAAGGACCCGAAGTGGTGCGACGGCCTTAAGAATGAACAAAGTGCTTTCGAGAACTAATGACGTCCTCTCACAAAAATCGGACGTCATGCAGCGATGGAGCGAATTTTATAGAGAAATGTATGCGTGTGATGATCTTAGTGAGGGAACCGGGGATGACGCCGTGACTGGTACGCCAGACCCGGACCTGGATGACACTGAGATCATCAGTATGAAAGAGATTGAACGTGCGATTCGAAGTTTGAAATGTGGTAAGGCTGCGGGACTAGACAGAGTTACTGCTGAAATGGTCAAGTATGGTGGGCCTCGCGTCTGGGACAGCTTTCATCTGCTGTGCAATTTGTGCTGGCGGACGGGGGATGTCCCGGATGATTGGCGATCCGCAGTCATTGTGCCTTTATATAGAGGTAAAGGTTCACATTTTGACTGCGGGTGCTATCGGGCGATCAGCTTGACCAGTTTAGCAAGTAAAGTTTACTCGAAGGTTTTGACACGTAGGATGCAAGAGGAATCGGAAAGATTTCTATGGGAGGCACAATGCGGATTTAGACCTGGAAGAGGATGCACGGATCAAATGTTTTCTCTCCGCATGATCACGGAAAAACTTCTGGCTGCTAACCAGAAGATTTTTTGTGCTTTTGTGGATCTTGAGAAAGCATTTGATAAGGTTGTAAGGAAGAAAATGTGGGAACTGTTGCCGGGGTATGGTGTGGATGGTCGATTGCTAAGGGCTGTGCAGTCTCTTTACTGTGACTGTAAAGCCTGTGTGCGGGTAGGGCATGACCTGTCACCCATGTTTAACGTCCAAACGGGCGTAAAGCAGGGTTGTGTCATGTCTTCCTGGCTGTTCATACTGTATCTCGACGGCTGTTTACAGAAGCTGAAAGATAGCTGTTTGGGTGTGAAATTGGGTGACATAAAAGTAAATTGTCTGCTGTATGCTGATGATGCAGTGCTTATTGCACCATCAGAGGCAGAACTGCAGGCATTAGTCACGTGTATGAAAGAGGAATGTGAAATTAAAGGTCTCCGTTTGAATGCTAATAAAACTAAGGTTCTGGTATTTGAAAGGGACGAAGAGAGAACGAAGTGTGAAATATGGGTAAATCAGGAATGTCTAGAACAGGTAAATGAAATTGTATACTTGGGGAGTGCTTTTAGCCGGGATGGAAGATGTGATTTAGATGTGGACAGGCGTGTCGCTGCCGGGAACAAAGTCAATGGTGCCCTGACTGCGTTAGTCAAAAGGCAAGGCGTAGCGAAGAGTGCACGCCTTGCAATACATAACGCAGTGTTGGTACCGACTTTGTTATATGGCAGCGAAACCTGGGTATGCCAGAAGAAGCATAAAAGTAAGTTGAATGCAGTGGAGATGCGATCTCTTCGTAAAATGTGCGGCGTTACCTTGACCGACCGAAAGCGAAACGAAGAGATTCACAATATGGCAGGTTTGAAAGATGACATTATCACAAAAATTGATAAGAGCGTGCTTCGGTGGTTTGGGCACGTTGAGCGAATGAGTGAAGACCGAATGGTGAAGAAAATATATAGCGCGAAAGTTAATATTAAAAGGTGTCGAGGTAGACCGAGACTAACTTTCGAAGACCATGTGAGCAAATTGCTCGAAGAGGGTAGGGTCAAGAGTCCTCGGATACCTAGACGTGCATGCATGAAGAAGATAATGAATCTGAAAGAAGCGAAAGAGGTTTGTAAGGATCGTGACACTTGGCGATCTGTTCTCTCTGGCTACCCCGTCAGGGATTGTGCGTGAAGATAAGTAAGTAAAATAATCATCAATGACCATTTATTATATCAATTTTCCAATGTCAAAAAATATAGCCTTAGAACAATCTGTTCAACCATTCCAAAGATTAGCTCGGACAAATAGACAGACAGACAGTCACAAGTCTAAATGATATGCAAATAGCTCCCTGAGCTGGATAAAAGGCAATGAGGGCTAATACTTTTCTGCTCACCACATGTCGCTAGTTGACACTGAGGTAAAGTTTAGTTTTTAATAAAAGTTTGTCAGTTTTTAGAGTATTATATTAATACAGAAAACAATGCTTCAGTCATTGAGTTATATGTACTACGTACTAGAGAAGCCATTCCGAACATTGACTATGTTCAACTGAACTGTACTACAATCCATACAAACTAAATATTGCGTAAATTGAAGATTTGTGAATTCCATAAAATAATTATTATTACATTTTATTTAGAAATATGTTTGTTTAGATTAAATTAAGATATTTTATATTAAATTCTTATATTTATTTTATATTAATATCCTATTTTATATCAAATTAAAGTCTTCGCCCATGCGCGACTACTACTCCCGCGCTTGCACAAAGACATAGAGTAGGACACAATTTTTGTTTGGAATGGCTTCTCTAGTACGTAGTACATATAACTCAATGGCCTCAGTGGTTCGCTTTTAAATTTTTTGCACATATTTAATTTTCTACTTTTATGAATATCTGTGGTTTGGTTTATTTATGTTTAATCTTATTAGTACAGAGTATAGAGAAATAAAAAATATTCTTTCTCAGGACTCTAAAACGCCCAACACTGGAACTTAATCTGCTCTTTTAACTACATAATAATTGAATATGATTTTTGTTTTGAAATTTCAGCGGAATTCGAAGTGGGGAGTCCGGTTCCGAACACGTTGTGCTCATTCGTAATCGAGGCAACCAAGCGCAAAACGGGCCTGCTATTGTCGCCCACATACCCCGGGATCTACCCGAAGGATATCAGTTGCAACTATCAATTCATTGGGCAACCGGGGCAGAGAATCCGACTCGAGTTCCGCGACTTCGATCTATTTTTCGGCGGTCCTCAGTGAGTGCTCTTTCTCGTTATAGATAACCAATAAATTACATTTATAATATTCAAATTGGGGTAGCGCAACGGTGTCTTCCTTGCAAAAACTCGAGAAACAAGAGGTGCCAGTGCTCAGCTGTGCGGCGTATATTGATTATTGTTTTACATTTCTTAATTTGAACATAGAAAGTTATAAGCGTCCAAGTTTTGAGACACTACGCAAAATAGCAAATTCTAATTATATTACGTAGCAATTTATTTACCCTTTATAAACTCTGGTAGTTTTTTAATTAAAACTTTTTTGAAATCATGTTTATCAAATATATGTGTCCAGCTAGGTCTTGGACCAACACAATTCAATTAAATGGAATGGAAACCACATAATTTAATTGATACAACTTAATGTTGATTGAACAATTTAATGTTTTCTAAGACTACTTGGTAGCGTCGCGCTACAGCTATAGGCCTTAAATAGCAGCTTAATGCTGCTTTGTTTCGTATGTTCGCCTCTATATATCGCCTCTTTTTCAGGGGAGACAGTGCATAATGTTTCTTAATCGCGGAAAAATTATGTAGGTGTTTGGGCTACAGCATTACTTACCACCAGGTGAACTGTTCAGTGTTTAACTAATCACACGTTTTTATACTTCAAACGAGTTTGGACTTTGAACTGGTGGTACTTGCATGAATAGTAATTCATAATATGCATATGCATAGCCAGTGGGCTAGTGATAAAAAACGAACCAGTATACTTTATACCAACCAGCAAATATAACAACGTTCATTGCATATGACTTTAATGCTTCAACTTGAACAATCGGTCTATGGTCACTATGAAACATGTTTTTAAAACAAGTAAGGGTGACAACTAGCTCACAGTCTATCACCAGTGATGGTAAATGAAAGCTGTAGGCCACAGACACCTACATCTGTCCGTAATCTAAGTGCAGAAGCACTGCCATCAATATATACATGTAATATACAACATATAAAGCCTCTTTACTATTATAAAGGTCCCTTAGTTCTCGTCCGGTCTTCACTGACCATACGTAATACAGCATTATGCTGCTATTTACCGCTGGAATTCTGTACGAGTCGGATCATTGGCCGGTCGAGAAAACCTATTCGTGCTGCAACCATAGCATAGCTTTACTTCACATAAAATTTTGCGTAGTTGCCCTTTCGACTGGGTGCGCGTGTACGACGGGCTCGACAACTCGTCGGCGGTGATCGGCACGTACTGCGGGCAGCAGCGCAACCTCGTGCTGTACTCCAGCGACGAGCGCCTGCTCGTCACGTTCTACACGCTGCCGCGCGCCGCCAACACGCAGAACCGCGGCTTTAAAGGCATCTTCGAGTTCTCCGAGAGTTTTGTTAAGTTAGGTGAGATATTCTTAAAAGTGTATTGGTATTTTTATGGATTTAGAGATATTTGTTAGGTGGAAGAACTCCTGTTCTGTCTATGAGTTGGTCTGGTAGGTGCCACCCTCTGTCCTATATCTGCTGCCAAACAATACTGCGTGCACTGCTGTGTTCCAATAAGAAGCGTATATAGAGCCAGTGTAATTACTGGCTGTGAGGCATTCCATTTTAGGCCCGTATTAATAAACGTTACTCAGCTCAAGTACACGTACTTGAGTACAATCTTGAGGTTATGATCTTGTTAATATACATATCTCAAGATGCGGTTTAGATTTACAATATCAGCTGAGTGATTTATAAACGAAACTCGACTCTCAAGTGTGTGTACTTGAGTGCAAGTCACAGAGCAGTATTCCTAAGTACAGCGTCTTGAGATACTGTTTTTATGTGTTTATTAATTAGCAACGATCTTGAGATGCTGATATCGTAATGAGGGCGTATCAAATGATTACGCACTTGAGTTCGTCGTTGAGTAACGTTTATTAATACGGGCCTTAGTCATCAGGGGTGACAACGCATCTGTAGCCTTCTTCGTTTGAAGTGTAAATGGGTTGCAATAGCTTCTGAGCATCAAGTGGACTGTAAGTTCCTTTGTCACTTCAGCTTTATAAAAGAAAGTAAGGATAACAAACGACCACGCGTTCTACGTAGTGGTAAGTAAATGATGTGGTCTACAGACGATATTGTGGATCAACGAATAGGAATCAAAATGCAAATGTTGCCTTATCTAGTACTTTAAAATTAAAAATTTTTTACAACCCACTTCAATATAAATTATTAAGCTAATAAATCGAAAACTATTGGTCAGATCTTGATCAAATTTATATGGGACCACATGTGCATCACCAGATTTTAAAAAGTTTTGAAGTTTTTTTGAAGTCGGTAGAAAACAACGATGGATTGCATTATTACCAGGTAAGAAGTGTTTCTGAGTTTTCCATGACTATTGTTAAGTAAGGTGAAATATAAGTGATGTAAGGGGCTTTGCCTTTTTCAACCGACTTCAAAAAGGACGAGTTACTTAATTCGACTGTATGTTTTCTTTTTATATGTGTTATCTCATAACTCTTTTCTTGTTGAACCGATTTAGATGGTTCTTTATTTATTTGAAAGCTGGCGCTTCTTATGTGGTCCCATATAAATTTGATCAAGGGCTGACCAGTAATTTTTGAGTTATCTTAATTTAAATTTTACCACGTGTTTGTTTAAAAATCAGCTCATTACACATTATAGCACCTGCTATTTAACGAACTTTTCTGTATGGTGGCGGCATAAAATAATCCATCACCATATTTCGTCACATGAGGGTTTATTAGATGATTATGAGAAATGCCAGAAAAATCTTATCACTTCCTATACAGGTTGATAGACCAAACAAACATCGAGAAGCATCAAAAGTGCAAGACCTTGGTACAGCGATTGACAAACCGCCTAACGAGCGTATATAGTCAAGAACAGTGGTTGCGTTTCCTCGCTAAATGGCTATTCTTAACCTTTGGGCGCAAAATGAACCAGCTCTTTTATCTCCAGAACTATGGAATGACAAGGATATTCCACCATCTTTCGAAGGTCACAACATATTGCGATTTCGCTTCTAATTTAACTTCTATTTTAATATATTTCTATGACAGTGCATAGAGAGGGAGGCCTATGAAAAGATAGATGGACTGTATCAGAGATGCTATGCGTAAGAAAGGAGTGAGTGCACATGCTATGCCCACCAGAATTGAATGGAATAAGGACAGGAAAGATCTTAATATGAATCTAGAATAGCACTATCCTCAGTTGATAAGAAGTATCATTGTAAGAATTTCCAATTCATAATATATGGTCACAAGTGTGGCGTAAGAAGCGACAGAGGGAAACTAAAACAGGAAATGGTCAGCAGCATCTTCCTGATAACAATTCAAAGTTATAAATACTGCAGTTGCCAACTGGAGCTGTGTGGTTGGTACCATAGGCCATAGGCACAATAGACACCGGTATATAATGGATGCCATACACGATCCAGTTTACCGTCAAGTTTGCACCACGCTTGAAGCGGCGTCCAGTGTGCAGTGCATCCATATAAACCGCTCACGTTCAAGTTCGCCGTCTAGTTTCCATGATGCAGATTTGAATGTTACAAATATAATGAGCAGTTGAAACCATGGTGTCACCAGTGACGGGCGACGACGCGTTAGCCATCCTAGGCTTATTACTCCGACTAACGTCATGCATGCTTGACCGCTCATACACACGTATAAGTTTACATGACGCTGCAATCTTGATCAAGTCAGCAGAATCGAAATTAAATTTTTGCTTCAAGTAGACTTTGATATGCAAACTGATAGCCATACACCGACAAGTTTACCGGACGCCACGCCGCTTTAAGCATGCTGCAAACTTGTCAGTAAACAGGATCGTGTTTGGTATCCATAAGCAGAAAACCTATGCTCGCTAGACTATAGACTATGAACAAAACACATTTTTTATCAATGCTTAATTTACCCATTCTTCTAAGCTTTGTTAATTTACTGTTTCAGATTTTATAAGCAAACACGACGCCGAGCACATCAGAGGCTCCGAGTGCGACCAGAAAATCCTTAGCAAAAAGGAATCTACTGGATTCGTGTACCATCCAAACTATCCATTCCCCTATATACAAAAAGTTGTTTGTAGGTAAGTGCACTGTATTTTCTATAATATAATCATATCTCATTATTAAACTATTAGAGTTCATGTGTTTTCAAGTAGGTTTCTTGAAAAGGAAGGAATTGTAAAGATTTTGACAACATTTTCAATAAACTCCGTGACGTAGTGGCTTAGCTATGAGTTGTTGCGCTGGGAGCCGCGGGTTCAAATCCCGCACGAAACAAATATTGTATGGCCTACAAATTATTGTTCCGGGTCTGGTTGTTTGTCCTCTCGTGCAATCTATGTTTGTAAACTGCCTCCACGATACGGAAGAAAATCCTAGAGTTGTGGTAACGTTTTTTTTTTTAAAGAAAAGAATAAAAGAGATTTTCAATAAACTGTTATACTAGACGTATTAGAGTACGTTAAGTGTTTTGTCCATCATTGGGAAGAAAGGTTATCTAGTGGCACCCTCGTACCGGCAGGCAAAGTGTAGGGCGTCCCTCCACTAGATGGAGTGACGACCTGTTAAGACATGCAGGAAGTCAATGGATGCATGTGGCTCGGTACCGTGCATTGTGGCATTCCTTGGGGGAGGCCTATGTTCAGCAGTTTACTTATGAACCGCCTTTTTGCACTGGTACCCTGTACGAGTGACGCCCTTTCCCCGCTCAAGCCGAATCTTTCGCGCTACTATCATAATTTAGCTGCAACGTGACTCTGTCGCTTAAAGAATAAAAATTATTATTTCATATGTGGTTATATTATTGTTACAGATATTTTATATATGGTATGCAAGACTCGCAAAATTTGGAAAGAGTCCGACTCGAGTTTCAAAACTTTTCTATACCAAAAGGAGAAAATCCGAAACCAGAGTAAGTACGCGTTCTGTTGTGTGACAAATTAAATGTTGTCTGTAAATCTAATCTTTTTTATATTCTGTAAGCATAGTTATTTAAACCAGTAGGAGAACGCGAGATTCAAATACAGCTGCATTTTATACCTCCAGCCAAAAATGTTTAGTACCACTGCTATAGCACTCTATGCCTTACATTAGTGTAACGTCAACAATTTGCTTTTAAACAGTAAGAAAACGAAACGTGTTAAATTCATTACACCAAATGATGAACAGGTGAATACTAGTGTGCTTTTAAATGGAGAGTAGAGTCGAGTAGAGTCTTGTTAAATCCACTGTTTTTCTCGGAATTACAGTTGGCGAAAAACTTCAATTGGGCTCTCATATGTCTTAAAGTTGCTAGCAAACTTAGCTCTGCAGCATATTCTGTAAATAATATTAAATCGTTATATGTGTTGAAATATCTAGATTAGTTTATTTTATTTATTTTCATAGCATAATGTCAGAATAGACCCAAAGAGCAATTTATAACCTAGTCTCTTAGAGAACAATTAAATAAAATAAGTATAATATGTATAACTTACTAAGAGTACATAATTGATAATACCCATCATGCACTCTTAGTACCTAAGTAGTATAATAATCGTTATTATAATAATTATACCTCTGGAATTAAGGTGAACGCTACCACGCAGTTTCTAAATGGTTTTCATATTTAATTATATAAAATATTATATTGGAAAATAATGTTTAAAAAAAAGTCCCGCTGGGTTGCTTACTGTTTCTTCCTAGGACAGAGGCTTTTATCCGAAAGTAAAAGCATAAATGACTTTCAATAAGTATTCCTGTAATTTAAACTAAATAAAAATTATTGTATTCTATTATTTTAGTTGCATAGAGTACTATAAAATAGCATAGAGTACAATAGCTCCCCCCCCCCCTCTCCCCGCCCCGGGTGTTGTGTTGCAGTACGTGCCCGGACGGGTACCTGAAGGTGTACCTGCGCGGGCAGGAGGCCACCGACTCGTACGACAAGCACGACGCGGAGCTGTGCGGCGAGGGCGCGGCCGGCCCGCCCGCCTTCCCGCCGCCGCTGCTGTCGGACGGGCCGCGCCTCGTCATGGTCTTCAGCTCGGGCGAGCTGCAGGGCCGCGGCTTCAAGGCCAAGTACACCTTCGAGACTGGTGAGTGCCGAGCGGACGGGACACGTTGTTGTCATACATGTTACAGTGATACCGTTACCGTTCCATCCTATCGAGAGTTCACCGATGAAAGAATGAAGAAAGAAATAAAAAAGTAATAAATAATTTAAAAAAATATTTGACCAACACACATTTATTTGCTAAATGCTGCTATTTCGTACGGTGTTGCATAATAGAAGGGTTTTTGGAGATGTGTATCTTTTGTCTTTTTTATGTCCTAGAAAATTTTTCAGCACATTAATTGATGTGGATAGGAGGCCCCCCTATCCAATTAATCACTCACAATTTCTGTTGCGGTACATTTGTCGTGTTAATAGAGTACATTACATAGAAAAAAAAAGATTTTTGATACATAATGTACTTTAAAGATACACGGGGGCCGGACTGAAAGTGTTTGGCTGGTACGACCACCTTTGTATGTATTTTTCTCGAAAAATACAGTTCCATTGAAAAAAAAGCAGTACAAATACTCCTACACGTACATCAGATTAGTGCATACCTCAAATGCGGATTTATGGTGGCCGAGCCAAGTAAACGAACTGTTAGGAGGCCGATCCCGTTTGACTTTTTAAAAAAAAACCACAAAGTAAACCTAAGGGTTTATTATAAAAAGTTTACACACACAATTAATATTAACCCTGACTTCCGAACTCTAATACGTATCGGAATCTATGTCCGATCTACCCGGGGCTCTGAATCTAACTGACTGTAAAATGGAATGAAATTAATATGGAAAAGAACAATGCAATTACTGATTGACGTCATATATAGGAAAAGTACCGTGGGATTGAATAAATGCTTACTAAGATTTAACTGCGTTGTAAAAAGGGATATAACAGCTCCCCCCTTTTGACTGAGCTTTTTCTAAATTAAGATAAAGCGAAGTTTCGAAATAGAGAAATAGTTAGAGGTCGGAAGGCATTACAAAATATAGAAATAGAAAATTAAATTTATAGTAAAACATAGCAAATTTATCTTATAACAATATAAAACTTCGAACTATTTGATTTTACATAAAGATAAAGTAAGTTGTAACTAAGTTATGTAAAAGAAACAGAGTAAGATTTAACAAATAAACAATATAAAATAGAACAATGAATTTATATAAAGGTAAAATAGTAAAATCTAGAATTAAAAGTATTTTAAATGAATTAGTAGAATTACGAGTAGAAATTGATTTTTAATAAACAAAATAGTAGTTTCAATTACAATTTTCATTTTAACATTGTATATAATTAAATAACAGTACACATTTAAAATTAAAAATATTTTTTTACAATTAGATTGAATAAAAAATAGTAAAATGTAGCAATTACAAAATATAAAATGACAAAGTAGAAATTGAAATTGTATGATAATAAAATTAATCAATTGTTTTAATACAAACATTTTTGTAAACTAAAATTGAATAAAATTAGAAATTAAGATTTCTTCCGGAGGAAGAGTGAACTTTGTGTACAGTTCTATAAGGTTCACAATTAGTACAATTTGGTAAAGATTTGGGTGAGTTATTATCTTCTTCAGATGTTGACATATCAATCATCTCAATTGAATTTGTAGTTTTAGAATTATGTTTCGACGACTTTTTATTATTACACTGATTAAATATTTGTATACAATGTCCACTATTATTGTGTCGATTTCTGGAACATTTAAATAATTTGTAGGCTAAGTACAAAAATAGTAATACAATTAAAATATAAGTAAATGTGGAATAGTATGAACCGTATTTTATAAAATGTGATTCCTTTTGAAGATTATTTAATTCAAATTCTAAACTATCTAGCTGATGATTTGCATATTTTAAGGAATCCAAGTTAACTTTGCTTAGAGAGATTGGCGTTAAATATGGTAAACTTTTATTAAATACATCTTTTTTGCAACAATCATCTCTTGTTATGTCAAAGCTTATATCTATAGTTGACTTAATCGAAAATTGATAAGTACTTGTTGGCAATAATTGAATAGTTTTGGAATAACCGATACAATTTTCGGTTAATTTGACAATACCTGTGCCAATAATAGAATGATCAGTAATATCATCGTTACATTTGATAGTTAATTTATTTACATTGGATTGTACATATATCCATCTATTATTTTTTAATTTATGCCAAATATTGATTTGGCCAAATAATAACTTGGAGTTACATTCAGAAGGTAAGGAAAGAGTTACTTCTGTTAATAATTTCGATTCACAATTAGGATTATTTATGCTAGACGTTATAGTAAATAGTTCACAAATAGAATAGTTATTATTAATAAATTTACAATCATCTAAGTTATTAAACATAGTATAATGTATTCTATCGTCACTTAAAGCAATATAAGAATTAGAAGGTTGAATAAGTGCAAACGTTTGTATATGCGACTCGTCGTGAGGAGTCGGTAATGGGATATTTTTATAAACAATGAACTTATCAGGTGTTATTAATGGAATCTGCAAGCTGAAAACAATCTTATTGTTATAATAATATGAACTAAGTTTCGAAACATCAATTAATGAATGAATATTATGTATGTTCAATTGCACTGGAAAATCTAAACGTTTATTTATTTGATTGATATGCTTGGTTAATTCATTATAAAGACTTAAAGGGCTAATCACGCTAGGATGCAAAACATTTACCTTGGAAAATAGGATAGCATTTATAGTCGTGTCTAGCAAGTTAGAAATAGCAAGTAAGGAGCTTTCAATTATGTTCAATAAATTATTTATTCTAGAAATGTTAATAAGTAAATTATCGGATTTGTGATTTGCGAAAGAATTTCATTCATTTTATTAATTTGTGAGTTTAATCTTAATTCATTTTGGTTTAATTTATAAATAGTGGCATTAAAATTATTTATGGTAGATTTAATTATGTGAATATTGTCTCTGAATAAATCAAATAGTTCTGTTTCACTTTTCCGACATAATTCTATCGCGGCATCATATTTTCGCGCATCATCTGCGTCTAGAGTACCGAAGAAAAATTTAAGAATTTCGCCTCCAAATTCTAGAGATCTTTTAACTCTATTTGGCGATTGATTATTATCGATTATATGTGCTAGGGACTGCAATTTGACGTAATTATATTTTATTAAAATCTCTATAGGATTTGAAAAATCTTTACATTGGGAAAATTCGTCAGTATTTATTTTGGAACAAAGGTTTAAGGTATCATATAATAAATTTTCAATTTTATTGAGATAAGGAGCTAAAGGTATAAGGTCTATATGTGTTATAACCTTCCAATAATCGTTATAAAAGTTAATATGCGTAATAGGTTCAAAATAAATTCCAGGACTATGTGATATAGGTATGATCCTCGACTCAGCGTGGCTTTGGCTTCCATAGCATAAAGCTCTGAAAAATATATAAAATAAGTTAAATTTAAGGAGTGTTAATAGCAGGCTTAATCTCGTTTATATGATACTTAACATGTTTACGACCTACTTGTAAAGTAACGTTGTGCTTATTATGGACTTTTATAATTTTATATGGACCTTTCCATATAGGTGATAGGGCCTTACGAAGTCGGTGATGGTGTTTTATATAAACTAAGTCACCAATTTTATACGAAATTTCGTGTGAACTTACATCGTAATATTGTTTGGATTTTTCTTTGCTATTAATTATATTTTGAATGGCCTTTTCTCTACTAAAACGCATTCGATATTGTAAAGCTCGAATATATTCATTATAAGTAGTATTATTGTTCGTTTCATATAGAGAATTAGGGATATTAGGTTTATAACCATATAATAATTCATGAGGGGTGAAATTGGTAGTGCAATGAGGGGTAGTATTATAAGCTAATATTGCGGTAAATAAATAACAATGCCAGTCGTTCTGGTTTTCATTAACGAAAGATTTTAAGTATTCTTTTAAAGTAGCATGTGAGCGTTCTAGAGCTCCATTTGTTTGTGGGTGGTAAGGAGTAGTAAATAAAGCCTTGACTTTTAAGATTTGAGTTAATTCTTTAAATAAATCAGACGTAAAACAAGTACCTAAATCCGTTAAGATTGTTTTAGGGAAACCGAAGAGAGACATAAAATGTACAAGATTTCTGGCTATTTCTTCACTGGTAGCTATGACCAGGGGATAAGCACTTGAAAATTTAGTTAAATCGTCTTGTAATGTAAGGATGAATTTGAATTTTTGAAAACCTGCGTCAGGTAAAGGACCAACGATGTCGAGAGCTAATCGTTCAAACGGTCTAGTGGAAGTAGAAGTTATTTCCATTGGGGCCTTATTGGACATTCTTAATGGTTTATTAATTTGGCATAATTGGCATTTCTTTACATAATCTACAATGTCAGAGCGCATACTTTTCCAATAATAGGCGGCTTTAATTCGTCTATACATACGACTTGAACCTGGGTGACCCGCAATAGGTGAATCGTGATTCTCTTTTAAAATTTTAGGGATTTCGACGGGAGTAGGATAAATTAATTGATTTTTGTATATATGAACTTTAATGTTAGTGTTATGAAAAATATAGGCAATCATATTATATACTTTAATATAAGCTAGCTTAGAAAATGGATCTGAAAAGTCTGATAAGGCGAGATCTGTAATATCAGGGTTCTCGATTAAAATTTTATCTCTGAGTTTTATAATTAAATTGTAAATATCTTTAAATTTGGTTTCTTCATAATGATGAATTTTAGTGTACATAAAATAGTAAGATTTATTCTTATCCTTTACGCATTGAATTGTAAATGGTTCGCGTTCGGAATTTAATAAGTCGTCAGGCTTGTCTAATTGTGCTAATATTTCTTCACAGTGAGGTATAGATGAGTCAAAATCTAAAGAGACGGGACAAGCAATAGTTTTTAGTTTGGATAGGTGTAATCCTTGAGTACATTCTAGGATTATTGTATTTGAAATAGGAGTTTTATTTGTAAATTGGTCTTTAAAATATTTTTCATAACTAGAATTATTTAAAGTGTTAATATCTATAACATTAACGGGACAGCGAGATAACGCATCGGCGTTAGAATTAAGACGGCCTTGTTTATAAGCAATTTCGTAATCGTATTCTTCGAGTTTTAAGCGCCAACGAATGAGTCTACTACCTGGGTCTTTGACATTGAATAGCCATACCAATGGTCTATGATCGGTAACTATTTTAAATTTATTACCGTAGAGGTAAGGACGAAACGTTTTGACTGCGAATAGAATGGCTAGAAGTTCCTTTTCGGTAGTTGAATAATTGCCTTCGGGACGGTTTAGAGTACGTGATGCATAAGCTATCGGTTTATCTTTGCCTACAGGACCTTGGGATAAGATTGCGCCTACGGCATAATTACTTGCATCTGTAGTTACTATGAACGGTTGAGAGAAATCTGGATATTGGAGCAGCGGAGCAGTGATTAGTTTTTCTTTTAAAACATCGAAAGCAATTTGTTGTTCTTGAGACCAGTGGAAAGTAGTATCCCTTTTTAATAAAGAAGTAAGTGGTTTTGTCAATTTAGAAAAATTATCAATAAATCGGCGATAATAGCCTATTAGGCCTAGGAAGGATTTAATTTCTTTAGGGCTCTTAGGAATTGGAAATTGTGACACTGCTTTTACTTTTTCTGGATTAGGAGAGACACCCTTATCGGTGATAATATGACCAAGATAAGTTACTTCACGTCTTAAAAATTCGCACTTATCCGGTTGCAATTTTAGATTGTATTCGCGCAGCTTATTGAATACTAGTTTTAATTTTTCCATATGTTCATTTAAATTATGACTATAAATTATGCAATCATCTAGATAAACATAACAGTGTAGACCTTGCAAACCTGATAAGACAGTATTCATCAGGCGCTGGAAGGTAGAAGGAGCGTTTTTTAAACCAAAGGGCATTCTAGTGAATTCGTAGTGACCAGACATGTTCGAATTAGTACTTATAGTAAATCCCGTTTTTGGGGCATCTTTAGGATCCATCTTTATTTGGTGGAAACCGCTGGCAAGATCAAGGGTTGTGAAATACTTGGAATGGCCTAATTGATCTAGGATATCGGTGATAAGAGGCAGGGGATAACTTTCGGAAACTGTGATGTCATTAAGACGGCGATAGTCAATGACTATTCTCCACTTTCTTTTGCCAGAAGCGTCTAATTTTTTCGGGACTACCCATACAGGGGCGCTCCAAGGCGAAACAGAGGGACGAATTATGTTTTGATTTAGCATTTTGCGAATTTGTGTATCGACTTCTTCCTTATGACACTCAGGGAAGCGATATGATTTTACGTGAACTGGGGCCGCGTTACCCGTATCTATGGAATGTTGGATGCCATTCGTAAACGAAAGGGGTTCACCTTCGAGGTGAAAGATATCCGTATAATCGGAACAGCAATTTAAAAGTGCTTTCTTTTCTTCATCGTTGAGATGGGAGCAGCGTAAAAGACTTAATACTCGATCTATTCGATTAGATTTAGAAGTAGAAATAGAATACAAACATTTACTAGATATAGGATTTTCGCAGGAAATAGAATTATTATAATCGATCGGTGTCAATTCTACGAAATAATCTTTAATTTCTAAGTCTGTGTCAGTCGTGTTTAAAACGGTGATGTTAACTTTTTTGTTTGGTTTTATTGACACAATACAATTCGCGACGTAAATACCCTCGCTTAAGGTATGATCTAGAACTAAGCCTTCATTGTTGTGATAAAGCTCGACCGAGTAATTTGATATAGCGCATTCAATGACGGCTTCTGAGCGTGCCGGAACGATGTATGTTGGCTGATGAAATATAATGGGAACTTGGTAACCACACAGAGTCATTATCTTAGAGCTATAATCTATATTAGCATTAAAATATTTAAGAAAATCTGTACCAATAATACCGTCGTAATTAAGATTTATATTATCGTTAATAACGTAGAATTTATACTCGTAAGTTTCATCACTTAATAAAAATTGTAAGTAGATTGAGCCTAGCGTTTCGCAATATGTATCCGTATCATTTATACCTTTGATTCTTATTTTGTCATTAAGAAGTTCATGTTTCATTTTTAAACACGAGTGTTTGATGACACAGACACTCGCGCCGGTATCGATAAGAAGTTTGAGACACTTAGGAGAATATTTTGTAAATAAATTTGTATATGGTAACGAAACTTTGCATGTATTTATACTCGTTTCAAAGATAGGAATAGAATTAGAATAAGATTCATTAAGACTCGGCTTAACCTCTTTGGGTTGCTGAGATGAAGATATAGTAAACGATTTAGTAGGACTCGGTTGTACCTTTTTGGTCAACTGAGATGCATAAGAACTAGCAAGACTCAGCTTCACCTCTTTGGGTTGCTGAGATGTAGATATAGTAAACGATTTAGTAGGACTCGGTTGTACCTTTTTGGTCAACTGAGATGCGAAAGAACTAGTAAGACTCAGCTTCACCTCTTTGGGTTGCTGAGATGTAGATATAGTAAACGATTTAGTAGGACTCGGTTGTACCTTTTTGGTCAACTGAGATGCGAAAGAACTAGTAAGACTCAGCTTCACCTCTTTGGGTTGCTGAGATGTAATAGACTTATAATGACTCAGTTCCTCTTTGGGTAACTGAGATGTAAATGAGCTAGAATGACTCGGTTGCTTGCTAAAGCATTGCCGAGATGAGTTAGAATAAGAATTAGAATAAGATTTAGCATAAGAATTTTTATAAGATTTAGTAGAAAAAGTAGTATTAATTGTTTTCGTGTCGTTACGATAGTACGATTTCGGCAGACACGCATCCGAAATCTTATTCAGTTTAAAGAGTTAGAGTTATCGACAGCGTCGTCGTTATCACATGTCATGTGCATAGGCACAGAATTGGAACAAGAATTAGGAATAGGGTTACGGCTTACAAAATTAGAATTATTATTTGGGCTACGATTTATATAATTAGAGTTATGATTAAAGTTTTTATTAAAATTTTGACGTTGTTGCATGTTATATTGTCGCTTTCTACATTGATCAATAGTGTGCCCTATGTTTTTGCAATAATTACACATTAATTTACCAGAATTAGAACTAGATAAATGAGAAATTTGTTTATTATGATTATAATTAGAATATTTTTTATTTTTAAAACATTGAGTAGCAACATGGCCTACTTTATTACATATACTACACTGTTTTATTGAATTTTTTGAACACGTTTGGAGATTTTGTAATTTTTCCTCTTCTATCGCTAATTGAACAGCTTCATTTAGAGTTTGAGGGTTCCTACATCTAACAATAGTAGAAATAGCAGGATTTAACCCTAACAAAAATGTATTTAATGCTAGATCCTCCATGGCGGCTATTCTACCTGGAAGCTCATCAGCGTTTTTGCAACTATAGTGTATATCTGATTGAATTTTTGTTAAAATTTGTTCTAATTTTAAAGAAAACTTAGTGACGTCCTCGGATGACTGTTTACAGTTTTGCAAGTCTGATAGTAAATGTGTCGCGTGTTTTTTCTCCCCAAAAGTAGAACGGAGAAATGATTTTATTTGATTCCATGTTTCAAAGGTTTTTAAACTACATGCAACTTGTGCTTTTCCCTCTAGTTGTGAGATGATGAATTTGCACAGAATAGGCTGTTGTTCTGGTGTAGCTAACGACATTGCATTGTCGCAGTTTGTAAGAAAAGCGGGTAGGGAATCTTTCTCCCCATTATAGGATTTTATAAATTTCGTCAAGAATGAAAGCGTGATTCTTTCCGACATATTTTCTTTACCTTTTTCTGCTTTAAGCGACATAGAATTAAATTTTAAATATTAAACTTATATAAAATAATCACAATAAAACAACGTAAAAGATTGGTAATAGTACAGAAACAGTGTAAAATAAAAGTAAATTTTAAATTTAAACAGAATACAAAATGACTTACAGAATGGTAATAATTTCTACACGTAGCATTTAAGCGTCGTAACAATAGCCAGGTGAAACGTTACACTCGTGGCGGCTGGCAGGCGAGATCGCTGACGCGGTGACTCCGTCACGTCGTGGGAAATAGCAGGACCGGAAGGCGTAGAAAGTTCTTGAAATAATTTTTGTTGGTGAGTTAGATCCAGCTGGTGCGGGCTCCTGGTGGAGACTTATCGTCGGCCAGACGGGAGATTTCAGGACCAGGTGTAAGTGGAGCGGGCTCACGCTTCAGAGCGGAGGCTGATCGTCGTCCAAAATTGTGGTAGGTGCAGGCTTAGGCACGGCTAAGGCTTAATGTCGACCTTGATGATTTCGGGGACCTCGGATTCGGATGCCAATGTCTTCTATGACCTTCTGTTTGGCATCCCACTTCTGACACCAATTTGTTAGGAGGCCGATCCCGTTTGACTTTTTAAAAAAAAACCACAAAGTAAACCTAAGGGTTTATTATAAAAAGTTTACACACACAATTAATATTAACCCTGACTTCCGAACTCTAATACGTATCGGAATCTATGTCCGATCTACCCGGGGCTCTGAATCTAACTGACTGTAAAATGGAATGAAATTAATATGGAAAAGAACAATGCAATTACTGATTGACGTCATATATAGGAAAAGTACCGTGGGATTGAATAAATGCTTACTAAGATTTAACTGCGTTGTAAAAAGGGATATAACAGAACGTATAAATATATGGCAAGCAAAGGCCATATTTGTCGCGTTTCCCATAGCACCCACGGTGCTAAAGGAATTATAAATTATCTAAAGGACAATTTCTAGGTCGTAGAGCTCCACCACTGCCCCATATCTGCTGCCAGCAGATATATATCTACTTTAGTGTTTGAAATGTAGTACTAGTGAAGCATTATTATCTAAAGCATTTAACCTCAGCTCTCGTGGGTGTCAACGCACCTCTAAGATGTACTGGAGGCTGGGACTGGGGCTGCGTGAGTTGCCAACCACCATACATATAGACTATATTGTAGTTGGCAACTCACTAGTTCGCTATGTTATTTATTTTATATAAATATTACAGAATACCGAGTGCCGGGCACTGCGGCACCTGGCGGCGAATGTGCGTTCACCTATCGTTCGGAGGCAAAGAAACGCGGCGACTTCAACTCGCCGCGCTACCCCTCAAACTATCCGTCGCGCACCAATTGCACTTACACGCTGGTCGCCAACCCCAACGAGCAGGTCACCGTCGTGTTCGACCACTTCAAGGTCAAGGCGGACGCGTGGAACGCCACCGCCGGCTTGTACGGGTAAATATATTCTTTTGCTTGCCATTAATTTTACTTTTATTTATTCATTGTAGTCAGCCCAAAACAGTCTACAGTTGGACTTGGGCTTTTCACATAATCAAATATTAGCCGAAATCACCACACATGGAGCTGGACTGGTTGTTTATTGAGACTGGATGTTTAATATCTCGTATAGAAGTCGATGGTTATACGACCAACTATCATAAAACATGAGATGTGTCTAGCGTTTTACATAATCACTTCTTACGGCGCCACAATGAGGAACAAACACAATGACAAAATGAGGTGATGGATACTGTATTCTTGTCTTGTCTACTATTGACTTGCAAAAGTACAAATATATTAATAATTCTAACTTAATCAAGAAGGTTATTGTAACCTCCGGGGACTAAAATTTAACCATAACCTTCTATGTGTGGAAGATAAGAATAGAAACGAGGTGTAAAATATAAGTATTATTGAATAAAACTAATTTTACGCATTCTATGGCATCTAATTTACTTACTTTTTATTGATTCCCGACGTTTATCTGACTGCGTAGATGCGTAAACAAGCTGAAGGTACCTACTTCGGTAACTCTGACATCGAGACGTCAATCACCTCAGTCCCCCGTGACCATGGGTGCTGTAAAGTACCCGAAACGTCGGGAATCAATAAAAAACAAGTTAATTAAACGCGATAGGATCCGTAAAAGTAGTTTTATTCAATGTGTAGTGTTCGCGTAAATATAAGAAATTATTATATAAGTAATATTTTAGAAAGACACGTTAATCTCTACATTTTTCTATCAAATTAACTTTCCCCTATGAAATTTGTCAAATATTATTCCTCATTCGCGCCGCCCTGGTGGCAGAGTGCAGTGGTGGACGCCCTGATGAATCGTTTATTGGCAGCGGCGCGACGTGCAGCGAGGACTGGGTGGAGGCGTGGTGGACGGGGCGCGAGGGCTCGCGCGTGCCGCTGGGCCGCTGGTGCGGGCTCGCCACGCCCGGCCCGCTGCAGTCGCCGCGCGGCGCGCTCGGCCTGCTGCTGGCGCTGCACACCGACTCCGAGGCCGTCGCCTCCGGCTTCAAGGCGCGATACATCTTCGAGGTCCATCCTAACAAATAATTAATTATAGTTTAGCGCTAAAGCTAACATTGTTTTATTTAATCCTGGTGAACCTAATCAAGATACGGGAATAAAATTATTAAATTATTGTATTGTCATCTGTCTTTGATACGAGTGCAAATTTTCAAGTCAATCGGCCATCTACAAGTAGGTGAAAATTACATTAAAAGATGCCGTTACATAGATAAATACACGCGAAGCTAATAAAAGAGTGTTAAAACGATTCCATTGTGTTCTGTTCGGCAGCCCGCGAAGTCGATCTTCGGCGACTGCGGCGGCAACATGTCCGGCGCGGAGTACGGTGTGATTGCGTCACCGCGGTTCCCGCGCGCGTACGAGGCGCCGGCGCGCGGGGACGCGGCGCGCGTCTGCAACTGGTTCGTCACCGCGCGCCCCGGCCGCCGCCTGCTCATCAACTTTCAGACCTTCGCTGTTGAAGGCCATCTCACCGGTAAATGCACTACTAAATTTTACCAACCCTATGTATGTATTTTTTTTATAGAATGAGGGTGACAAACGAGCATACATTCCACCTGACGGTAAGTGGTTACTGTGGCCCATAGACATCTACATCCATCTTCGTTTGCGAATTAAAATGCACATGCGTTGTCACCCGTGAGGACTATGATAGAATGTCTCTTTTCCAGTAAAAAAGGGTATCTATGCGCGAATAATAATGCCAGCCTTATTCTTCTTTAGCATCAGCCCGTAAAAGCTAACTAGACATGGGACTTTTACCGTTATTTTTTTGCTAATCATCACAGTTAGTAGTAGTTAGTAGACGAATTGACGATCGCATTACCAGACGTCTCGCAATGTTGATACGTGTATATTAATGTTTGAAGATTTTATCTAGTCTATTCTTGAGTCATTTACTGTTGTTTGTTCCAATAGATAACAATTCAATTATTAATAATTATTATAAATTCTTAAATAATTAATAGAATAAATGACAATTAAAGATGGAAAATCGACTGGACGCGCATACCTTTTATACGTGGTAGAGCCAGGCTACAGCTATATTATGATTGTAGCACGTATGGGTTGGCTCGACCGGGGTAGGAACACACTCTCACAGAATACCAACGTAAAATAGCAGCTTAATGCTGCTGTGTTTCGTATGGTGAGTGTAGAGAACCGGAGACCCTTTTTTACTGGAAACGAGGCATCCATCTTAGTCCTCACGGGTGACAACGCATCTGCATTTAAATTCACAAACGTGAATAGATGTGGATGTCTATGGGCCATAGCATCCACTTACCATCACGTGGACTGTGTGCTTGTTTGTCACTCTATTCTATATCTATTAAAAAATCTATGACAATAACATTTCCTCCAACGTGTTTTGCAAATTTGCACGCTAAGTTTAATAGTGGTAAGTGCAGAATTGTGCACTGAAAAGTAAAGAGTTTGGTCCTTCGAGCCCAAAACTTTTGAATTAGAGCAGATTTGGAGATTGGAGAGATTGTGCAAAACATTAAATAATAGAGTCCTCAAATATTTTAAGAAACATCACATTATACACAAATAATGGAAACATTTCTTGTGTGTGTGTTTTTATATGAGAGGGGCAAACGAGCATACGGCTCACTTGATGGTAAGTGACTACCGCCGCCCATGAACAACTGCAACGCCAGGGGAATTGCAGATGTGTTGCTGGCTTTTCAAAAAGAGTAGGGTCTTTTCTTGAAGGTCCCTAAGTCATATCGGTCCGCTATATAAAAATCGCTGGTGGTAATTTATTCCACAAGAAAGTTGTGCGAGGAAGAAAACTTCTTATAAATCGCACAGTGGTTCCACCACCGTGAATCATCCAGATGGTGTGGATGGTATCTCGAGTTTTGTCGCGATGTGTGATGGTGAAATTAAGCGGCTGGAAAGAGTCTGAACAATTCCTCTGAGCACTCCCCGTGATATCGCAAGATAGAATACGCAAAGGGATGCAACATCTCTTCGCAGCGTCAGTGAGTCAAGCCGATCTGAAAGAGCTCGGTCGCCGACATTCGAACTGCTCTACGCTGAATGCGATCAAATGGTGGAGCTGGCACTCGGGAGACCCGGCCCAGAGATGGGAACAGTATTCCATGTAAGGCCAAACCTGCGCCTTTTAAAACTGCAGACCGTGTGCCGGTATGAAATATTGTCCCGCTCTGCTGATCACGCCAAGCTTTTTAGAGGCCATTTTGGCCTTCTCTTCCAATGGGCCACGAAACTGCACGTCATTCAATATATCGACGCCGAGGATACCGTTACTGGCTGATGCAATACGGGGAGTGCCCTAAAACTGAGGAAATATCACAAGGGGGTTCTTTTTGTCTTCTGGGGATTGAATTGGACTAGATTTAGTCGCCCCAATACGAGACACTGTTGAACAAACAGAATTCAGACACAAGTTTGTTTCAGTACTCGGCGACGTATTACCGAGAAATGTTGCCGCGGCTGATGTATAAATCATTACCAGTGATGTCGTCTGCATAGCAAATGTTACCGGTTTGCAACATATCATTGATATGCAGAAGGAACAGCATTGGTGACAGCATGCAGCCTTGTGGAACACAAGTGTTAATAGGCTTATAATCGAAGCATGCACCGCCTACTACGACCTCGATACTCCGATCAGCCAGAAAACTGGTGTTCTAATTGCACAATTTCTTAGGGAGCCCATAGGAAGGAAGCTTTGATAGAAGCGCTTTGTACCAAACCCGATTGAAGGCCTTCGCTATGTCCAAACTGACCGCCAAAGCCTCCCTGTTGAACTCAACCGCCTGCGCCCATCGGTGTATTAGGTAAACATGAAGATCACCAGCTGAGCGATCCCGACATGCAGCTGGTGATCTTCAAGGTAACTCTTAAACTGGCAGTTTATAATTGTTTTCATTATTTTGGAGAACAAGGAGGTGATAGCGATAGGCTGTCTTCAACCAAAACTGTCTTCCATGATTTCGAGACTAGTTCTAGGAAGTAGGAGTACCGGAAAAGACGCGTTCGAACCGGTGCCAACTCTGGAGCACACGTAGACACACACGTTCTTTAGTAAGATTGGTGGATTCTGCCAGGCCCACTCGACTTGGAAGAGGAGTGCTTTGCGTACTGAGCTCTGTGTGAGTTATCCATCATGCATAGAGCGCTTACACTGCGCCGACCGTCCGGCGGTATGTTTCCCCCGTCATTGAGAGTCGAGTTGGACGCAAAAAGGAGTCTAAAAGGTCGGCTTTGTCTTTTGCGGCGTGGGCCAGTGAGTCGTCCTCCCTGTGCAGAGAGACCAGAATGCACGGGTTCCCGAAGGAAGGTGAACTAATTTCTTGCCAATTTTGCCAATGTGCTAATTAATAATCTGCCTTGGAAATAACTCTTTCGAAGGACCTGGAGGCGAAGTTTTACTTCATTTTAAGAATGCTGGTGTTTACATTGCCTCTGAATCGTCAGCCAGGCCTGACACTCCTGCTTATGGTGTAATGCAGTCTTACAAGAGCGATCAAACCAAGGCTGAGCTCTGCCTCCGAGGTATATCACACATGATGGAATAAATAGTTTCCTTGAAGCACCACATCAGTGACTAAGAATAAGTAATCTAGATTATTCATTCATCATTCATGTGGAATAAAGATGTCTTGCTGGCGTTAGATTGGCTATGGTATTTTTGTTTGTCACTAGGTTCCGGTTCTAATATTCATACGTTTATTGGATGTATGAACCGGCCACATTTGAAGTTAAAACACTGTAATGTTTTTCCGTGTGTTCAGAACGTGGGTGCCCGGCGGCAGTGCTGCGGTTGTGGTACGAGAGCCCGGGCCCACCGCTCGAGCTATGCGGCGAGAAGGCGCCCACGGACCGCTGGCAGTACCTCTCCTCCTCCAACTCTATACGTCTCTCGTGAGTAATAACAATAGTCCACATATTGTATCAGTAGTTGTATCCATGAAGAGAGATCACTCTCTTCCCGAGACGTCAGTCGCGACTCATGCTAAAGATACTAGGTATCATCATCCGCCTGCGGAAGTCCACTACTGAACATAGGCCTCTCCTGAGGCGCGCCACTTAGCCCGATCTTTGGCTTCACGTATCCAGTTGCTACCAGCTGCCTTGCGTAGATCGTAGCTACATCTAGTCAAAGAGCGTCTACACTACACCTACATTTACCTAAATGCGGTCTCCACCCTATAACACGCTTACTTAAGATACAAAATATACTAGCTATAACTAAATGAAATTCTTAACTGTGCCATGTTACATTTGTAATTTTTTTTCCCAAGTGAATCAGAGCACAAACTTAAGTTGCTCAGTCTTATTTCAATTAGATACCCGGTATGGTGTCGGCGTCCCCCCACGAGATGGAGTGACGACCTGGTAAGACATGCAGGAAGTCGATGGATGCAGGTGGCTCAGGACCGTGCTTTGTGGCATTCTTTGGGGGAGGTCTATGTTCAGCAGTGGACTTGTGAAGGGCTGTAATGATGATGATGATGATGATGGTGCGTATACCATAGGTAAAGGAAACTGACTAGTATACACGAAGATGATTTGGCTTATATTTTATTGAATGCAATCTACGGATAAATATGAAAAGGTTCTTCTTCCTCTTCTTCTTTATTAATGGGCCCGTAAATTTTCAGCGCATGGACCTCCAAGACAAATAAAAATCAAAAAGCACTATGTTGGTCTTAAAGGTCGCATGTTTATGTGGGGGACTTACAACAAAAAATGTGCCAATTCTGTAAGTAATGCCTGGCATGTTCGAAAAGGCGACTAATGTGATATTTGAGATTGCGATTGTGTAGGCGATGGGTTATCCACCTATCACTTCTTTCACAATTTTCCATCTATACCAAATTCTTTTAAGCAGCTCTTAGTAGACCCACACTGCGACTATATTATGATTGTTGCACGAATGGGTCGGCTCGACCGGGGTAGGACCACACTCTCACAGAATACCAGCGTAAAATAGCAGCTTAATACTGTTGTGTTTCATATGGTGAGTGAACAGATTCGGAGACCCATTTTACTGGAAACGAGGCATTCCATCTTAGTCCTCAGTGGTAACAAAACATCTGCATTTTGATGCTTAATCGAGGATAAATGTAGATGTCTATGCGCCACAGCATCGACTTACCTCAGGTGCACTATATGCTCGTTTGTCTCCATAAAAAATAGCTATGTCACAGTAGCTAGTTGATGGTCTCTGCCTAACCCATCGGTGATAAGCTTGACGATACAGAAAAATTAATTGAATCGTAAGTTCAAGTACCAGGAGAGCATGGGCGTTCCGTAGGTTTATAATAGCGGACAAGTCGGTGGGCGCGGCGGGGTGGCGCGCTATCTGGACTGAGGTGACCACGGACACTGAGGGCTGCGCCAACGCGTGCGCCGGCGCCTGCCTGCCGCCGTCCGCCGCCTGCTCCGGCCTGCAGCACTGCGCCGGCGCGCCCATCAAGCGGCCCGCGCACTGTTAGTATACACCGAGTAGGATCACCACACTACACAACAGCACAATGCGGATAGCACAACACTAGCAACACAACACAACAACACAGTTCGGACAACACAACACTAGCACGACAGAATTAATAACGACTTAACGCGTAACGACATTTTGAGTAAATTGTTATATTGAATGAACTCGATAATACGAAAAAGGGACTACTAAAAAGAGACAAACATAGGTACATATATCGGATTCAGCTTGTGAGAAAATGAGATAGAATACAGTATACAGTGTTTCCTATTGCTCGGTATCCTTTTCCGAAAGTTTCACTTCAAGCGCGTACGAATTTGACGGATGGAGAATAGGCGAGAAAAAGCGTAAGATTTTTCCGTCACAAACCCCTTTCTATAGTGCGAGCGAGATAGAATAATATCCATCCCACTCACACTTTTTTATCTTGCCATGAATGAAATATTATTTTAAATAACACTTCATTTTAATCGACGCTAGTAATTAATTTATTTGCACTCGTATTTGTTAATCAATAATATATTACGTTTATTAATAATAATATACTACGAAAGAAACTTCGTTCCAACCGAGTGTTCCACGACACTCACGCCTGTTTTTTTTTATTTTATATTAAGGCCCTCTTGTAGTACGATGTGCACGTAATCACATACTTCGTATTTAATAGTCGGTCAAAGCAGAATAGAATAAAAGCGGAAAGAATTTTAGAACAACGTACGTCAATGTTATAACCTCGAAGATGTTTGGGCGGACTAGCGGCTAGCCGGGGCTTAGAAAAATAAAACGAGTTCTCACCGTATTGTAAAAAATAATAAACCTTTTCATTTGATATAACTTGTACTTGGTTTCATTATGAGATCTCGGCAAGGTACACGTTTAAATAGCGACTAATAAAATAGTGCACGTTTCTGCTATCACAACACACTTGTTACGAACAACTGTTCAATTTTTATTGATTTTTTTTTGCGCAACAATTTCATTTCAGAAGCTCTTGGAAGGTGCAAAAAAACTTAAAGAGTACTATAACGTGGCCTTAACACGTGAACATTTTATAGCATTTATTATAAAAGGAGGAAAATGAACTAATAACATCCGAAAGTTACTGTGACGTAGATGTGAAGAATAAGATTATGTTGTTGATAAGGCAAGTAAAATAAAATAAACATACACACATTTTTCCATACTAAACCTTATAACCAATTAATTGAATAATATAACCAATTAAACGAAAAATATAACCAATTTGATCAAGTTCATGGCTGTAAGCAATAATTGCTTACTTAATTTACTAACTTTATTTGACCGAATTTTGAACACAAACGATACTAGTTTTAATTATGATATACAAACGATTCCTGTTAATACTAATAAACACTAATTCGATCGAATATATGCAATTAGATAATGGGGCAGCGCGTAAAATGTAGCTTGGAAAATAGCTCGTGCGGTCGCATTATTAAATATGTGATTCGTACTGTAATTACTGTTCGATAAGGTCCATTTTCATTCATTCATTATAGCCTATCAAAGTTCACTGCTGAACGTAGGCCTCCTACATAATCTAATAGGGATATTTGCCTTAGTTACCACGCTTGGCAGCTGGGTTGGCAAATGCAGTTTTTATTTTTACTGAGTTTCTATCAAAAATATTCTACTGCGTATAACCTATATAGAGGATAATATGGCTACACGGCTCTATAGTTTATCACATCACATCCAGAGACGCTTTTTAAGACAACTGCTGAATATTGGTCTTTCCAAGAATGTACCAAAAAGATTCTATTACACCAGACTGGGCAGGCAAACCTGTAAGGGAGTAGACATTACCAGGAACTCCCCATCACCAGTCTGCGAAATTTAGGTTACGTGTTTTGGGAATGGTTTTTCAGGTATCAATCGCCAGATTCTTGTCCATCAATCAGGAGAGCAATAAGCTTTGAAGAAACGGTAAAATTATTCCTTGTCTGTGTACTACAAAATGAGTTTGAAAAAAGGGTGCGAAACGAGCACACGGTCCACCGAATGGTAATTGACTGAGGATTAAAATGGAAAAGTTCAAGTTCTCGACATTATAAAGATTTTATAAGCGACCCATTATTTAGTTGTATATTTGTTGATAGAAGGTACTCTAACACACCACCTATGACTTGTACATACTTTAAAATCCATAAAAAACTTATACAAATAAATTAAGCCCAATAATTCTTTTTAAAGTTGCATCATAATTTATTATTATAACATTAAGTTTAAAAATATTTCTTTTTTCTTTTATTGGTACTTATTTGTTTTCTATATTACATAGCGAAAATAAATATATGTATAATTAATTATACAGTAATTAGGACTTGTTGGTGTTTATAAAATTAAACACACGCTTTTACAAATAAAACAGCGCTAAAACTCTTAACACGATTATCTTTAAAGATCATTATGACGATAATAACAACTTTAACAATTCTGCTTTTCAGAAGCAATGAATCAACCAGTCCATACACTATTAGCAAATACACGTTAAGAACTATCTGCTGTCCGTATATTTATCCGCCCCACTTATACAGATAACATTATTATATTAGTCACAAGAATTATTATATTGCAATGTTGGTTTAGACCAGCATATCGTAATAAAGCAAGAGCTTATACTTAACATAGACATAGCCAATATTAACACACCATTTACAGCATGTGAATTTCATATATATATGCAAATTTCATGAATGACAACAATATGCAAATTTGCAACCCACTATCTGAATTTTTCATACTTAAAAAGACTGTTTAAAATTTTTAGTTTTCGTTAATAACTTTAAATATTAAACTGACTTTAAGAAATCCCTAACCAATTTTTTAAATAGCAAGATAGGAAGAATAATCGACAAGCAATGCTAATGCATCAAGCTACGCACAACTTGATCACATTGTAATAATTTATTCAGCTTACATAGCCACGTAATGAGTATTTAATAACTTTTATGTTAGTTGCCGACATAATTGCGGACACTGTTTTGAACACAATACAATCATTGCTTTTGATCGCATTAGCACAATTTCAATACTGCACGTTGCATAACTCATATTACGTAAATTGTGATGCGCACGTGGCAACACTAACACCGAAACCATTTATATGCATTTAACACATCAACACAAATATTGTAATCAAATCTGAATGGTATTTTATTTGTGTGTTCAGGATATTAAATAATAATATTCATTTTCAATGTAAAGTTAATAGTAGAAAACGATTATATAATAAAGTACTGTAAGTTTTGAGCTACTTAATGATGTGTTTCTAGGATTACTCCTTAACTTTATGTAAATTTAAAGGTTTTGTAACATGTTTAAGTCAAATTTTTATGACTTTTCCCAAAATTACCTCTTACAACCCTTATCTTACAGCAACTGTATCGAATTGTCCTTACTAAAATTCACTTATAAATTGTGGCACCTCACAATTCAACCTCCACATTATAACATATATTGTATAGGCACTTGCATTTTGCGGTCACTTTTCAAATATCAGTATTAATTTGTTACAGTATTAAAAATTATGTAATAAATATAATTATAGCTTGTTTTACGGAGTAAGCAGTTTTCTCTTTCATTTGTTTTTATTTTTGGCGGACCAATTCTATTTTCAAATATGGACGACAGCCTAAAAGGAGCCTTAATAAAATTAATAATGTTTCACCCCGTTTACTGTACTTCATAGAAACAAAGATGGAAGAACATCAATAGTACTTTTGAAACGCGTCGATGTATTTTCCACTCTTTTTCAGCGTGCTTATTATATTTCTGAATTATAAAGTGAAGCCTGACAGATTGTTCTCACGCGCCATTTAGTAATACTCTTATTATTATCGAGTCTATCTTTGTTTAACATAAAACTGAAGTATTTAAGACAGAATGTAAAAAATACTTTGAAGCAAGGGCTATGTTGCTCTTAAAATAGCAAGTTTTCACGCGCTATTAATGCTTTACAAGCTGCTTACTCCTGCTTGTTTATTCTATTGTAATAAGTATATCTAACCACTGTAGAAATGTTAAACGATAATTCATAAACAATAACTTATAATGTTTTGTGTATTTTAAATTTCTGTCTTGACGGTTCAATGCAATCTTTGTCTCAGAGGATCCATTAATGTAATTTAGTATTGTAGGTTTAGAAGACTTTAAAAAGCGAAATGTTGGTGAATTAGCAGAATAATATATAACGATGTTGCAAGATTATGGACTTTTTTATTTACGGACGCCAACCCTTTTGAGTGTATTCTAAATATTCACATCTAAAATTCATTTCTACATTCATAAATTTAACCCCCTAAATAGTTCTTTAAATTCGTTCTAATTCTTAAAATACTGTGATGACTCAGGTTAGATAGAGCTAAATTTGCTGCATCAAGAATATGTTCAGATATTTTTTGTCATTTTCATAAACATCTAGGTCAGAATATCCGATATCCAATGGGACGAAGCTTGCATTGAGTCATCGCACTATGGGACCCGGGCTCTGCGTCCAGCGTTAAAAATACTTGTATCAATCTTTCTGTATCTCTTTGCTCAGTTTAAAAAAATATTGTATTACAATAAGAAACAAGTATTTTTAATGCCTAGCACAGTTCCCACTCCTAGCATGAGCACTGTAAACCTAGCAGTTGATGACGCTTACAAGCTCATTCTAGGAAAGCTTGGTGGTATGACGAAAGCAATCGTCAACTTTTTGAAACAATTTCAATCATTTATATAGTCAGTTGGCAATTTCTTGATGTACCACCACCTCTTCGCTCATATTCTGCACTTTTTCCTTTCTGCGGGGCCAGCAAAAATTTGTCGACTGTCATAATTTGATGGAGACGAATTTTAGTTGGACTGATGTCGTAAAAGGGGTGGAATAAGGGAGCAAGGTTTCTCCGAGTCCTCAAGTTGACACGGCAGTGTGCGCAGGCGGTGCGGCGTCGAGCCAGGCCGTGCCGCGCGTCGCTCTCGTCGTCCTCTCGC